CGAGGGACGCGTGGGCTGGCTCCTGCAGGGCTGTGGCCACAGCCGGGGTCCTGCCACCCTGACACCTTCCATCGCCTCCTCACCCACCACAGAGGCCCCGGTGCCTGGCCAGGCGTTGCGGCGCTTGGGTGCACGTCAGCCCGGTGTGTTGGGGCCAGGCGGGCATTGCGTGGGGATGCAGGCAGGGTGGAGGCGATGCCCAGGGGTTCAGCAAGGGCAGAGGCAATTCCCCGGGATGCAGGCAGGGTGGAGGTGATGTGCAGGGATGCAAGCAGGGCAGAGGCAATGCCTGGGGATGCAGGCCGGGCAGAGGTGATGCACAGGGGTTCAGCAAGGGCAGAGGCGATGCCCAGGGATGCAGGCAGGGTGGAGGTGATGCCCAGTGATACAGGCAGGATGGAGGTGATGGGTGGGGATGCAGGCAGGGCGGAAGTGGTGCGCAGGGGTTCAGGAAGGGCGGAGGCGATGCCCGGGGATGCAGGCAGAGCAGAGCTGATGTGCAGGGATGCAGGCAGGGTGGAGGCGATGCCCAGGGATGCAGGCAGAGTGGAGGTGATGCCTGGGGGATGCAGGCAGGGCAGAGGCCATGCTCGAGGTTGCAGGCAGGGCAGAGGCAATGGCCAAAGGGGACCCACCTCCCCCTGGGTCCTCTGTTCTTTGCTCCTGAGTCAACAGCTGAGGATTAAGGGGCTGTAAACAAGGGGATCAATGGCGCTGATGGGAACATTTCCTGGTAATAGCTGCGGCCTGTAAAACAGAGTGCAGGGGGAGGAAGGGGAGGCTCTGCTCTCACAGCTGTTAACCCTTCACACCCGCAGTCATGCACTGGCTTCTAGGTGGCGAGGGCTGGGGCTCTGGCTCACTGGGGCCAGGCTGCGTGCCCCAGGCCAGGCAAGGGCTGGCTGCTGCTCTGCCACAGGGACAGGAGTGCCAGTGGTTCACGGGGCTATTGCAGCCCTGGGGACCTGGGTGACCAGCTGTGGGCCAGGCTGCTGTGCCTCAGCTTGCACAGGCACCCTGAGCTGCTGGGCAGGCAGCAAGGTTAACATCTGCAGAGTGGTGGGATGCCAAGCCAGTGATGCTGGAGGAGGTGTCCTGACCTCTGTGGCTGCGGGGCGTTCGGCCTGAGCTGCTCAGAGATGGCTGTGAAGAGGCAAGTGTCTTCCCAAGGAGGAGCTGCTAGCACTGAAATGTTAATGCCATGGTAGAAGGATGCTCAGCCCTGGTCCGTGGTGCATGGGAAGACAGGGGCTGCTGCGGGCAGATGGGGAGGTAGGAGCAGCCGCTGTGGCATCCCCTGGCTCCTGAGCAAGGCAGATAGTGCCACCAAGCCCTTCTCAGCAGCCCAAGCTGCAGGGCTTCGGTCACGTGAAGAGGCCTCTTTCTGCTGGTTGCAGGGGAGGGAGCACAGGCAGGTTTTTTTTTACCTGCCTCCGTCACGTCCCAGGGCACGTCTACTGGGGATCCCAGCCCTGTCTCTTCTCTGCACTACCATCTCCCTCGAAGGAATGAGTGCTTGGAGCAGCAGGGTCCAGGCTTGGGCACCAGCCCTGCCCCGAGCTCACCCCACTGCCCATGCCACAGCTGCCCACCTCACTGCCAGCCACCCCAATGCCCACCTCCATGCACAGGCAGCCCTGAGCATGCCACAGCCCCGGCGCACACCCCTGGCTGTCCCATCGCCCCGGCACCGATGCCTTAATGTGCTGTGCATGTGCCCCTGCCTCGGCAGGACTCCCCATCACTGGTGCCCCGCACATACACAGCCACACCGTCACATGCCACGCGCTGTCCCTACCACCTGAGCAGCAGTGGACGGTGAGTGCCTGGCACTCAAGCAGACGCCTGCGTCCCTCAGTGGGCATGGCCTCGCCACAGTGCCCTGCACCTGCCCTGCTTGGGCCTGGCAGGTAAATGTCAGCCTATTTTTATCTGTTTCTCCGCGGGGCGGCTGTTCCTTCCGTTCGGATGAGCAGATGTACCTCCATTCCCCGTCCCGCTGGGGACCAGGGTTAATCTTCCTGAAATTCACCTTCCCCGCTTCCGAGAGCCGCCCTCCCCGGGGCTGGGCAGCAGGGGATCACAGACTAATCCTCCCAAAATGAGCGGGGCTGTGGTGGGCTCTCGCGTCGCAGCACAGCGGCTCCCGAGAGCATCACCTCCAGACAGGGAAGGCCAGTTCCCTGCTCCAGTCTGGCAGGGGCTGCAGCCTGCCCGCGGCTCAGACAGGCTACACGGGGCTGGGCTGGCTGCACAGGATGGAGAAGGCGTTGGGATGGAGCGGGGACATGCCGCGGAGTTTGCTCAGCGCTGGCTCGCTGTGGGGCTGAGGACACAGGGCTTGGAGGAGGACGCAGGCAGCACTGAACAGCATCAGTGCAACGTGTAGCCAGCAGCTCAGGTAATGGGGCTGCAGCCAAAACACCCCCGGTGGGCCCTGTCTCGTGTAATTACGCAATTATGCCTGTTTCCAGTGGTTTTCCCAGCCGGCGCAGTCCAAGGCACTGCCGAGGGGCTGGCGTGGCGGCCGCGGCCACGCGCTGAGTGATGGTGTGTGTAATAGCGGGGCTGGCAGGTAATAGCAGCCCTGGAGTCCATCAATAACCCCGCTCCCTGACGGATGCCGCCCTCCCCTCGCCTGGCACCGCTGGTGATTAGTTACAGCAACGCTTGCTGCTCCCCCCGCCGCGCCGGCATCGGTAGCACCGGAGCTTTTGGTAGGACGAGGAGGTGGCGGTGCAGGTCATCCAGGTACCCTCACCTTCACCCCCACCTTTGTGCCTCAGACGAGAGCAGATATTTTCATGTTCTATTTATAGTTTTACCCCCTTAAATTATTGATCTGAATTTACAACCACAGCTGCCAGCTTAACAACAGGCTTCCTCAGGAATCAGTCTGGGATCTGGCACAGGAGACTGGGGGCAGAGGGGAGGGGGGGGGAGAGCTGGCCAGGCTGGGGGCACAGTGCAGGTCTGGGCATGGGGTGGCTCCATGGCCCAGGGCTCCCCGGGCACGCCGCTCACCTCCCGCTGCTGCTGAGCTGTCTTCAGGATGATGCTTTCAGTGCTTTTCCTCCATGAACGCCAAGCCCAGGCCCTTCCTTCCTGGCTGGCAGGTGCCAGCAGCCCTGGGCAGCTGGCGGGGACGGCACCGCTATCTCTGCCGCCCAGCCGCTGCCTGGCTGCTCGCACCCAGCTGCCTGCGGGAGCATCTGTGCTCCAGCTCACCTCCGTGAATTATTTAAAGCTTCCCTGGGTGCCGCGGGAAGATGATAACGTCGGAATCGGGGATGGATGGGGAGCTGGGGATGTGGGGCTGCTCCTGCCCACGCTTGGGGTCTGTGCCACCCTCCCCGGATGGGTCCCTCTGCAACCAGACTGGCTTTGGGGATGGGGCTGACCCCTCCAGAGGAGCCGGCATGGGGCTGCGACCTGACCCACCTCTGTCCCCCAGGGTGCAGGCAGGCAGAG